TGCACTCCAGCCTGGGCAACAAGAGTGAAAACTCCATTTAAAAAAAAAAAAAGTAAGAAAGAATCCTGACTAATGCAGCAAAGCAAAGCACTGTACTCAATCATTCAGTAGGTAAGAGGCAGAGCCTACTGACCTCTGTGTGAACTATTATGCACTGCTGCTATACCCTACACTATAGCAACTAGATTAAGGGTAGAATAAACTTTCTCTTTTTGGAAACTCCTCTTCCCCTCAAAATAAGCCTAGCTATACCCAGTGAAAATTATACAGATTAGAGTAGGACTTTCAGATCCACAGTCAATACATAGCACCCAAAAATCTTCATCAGGCACGAAATAGCATAATAATGATTACTTTGGTTTACAAGCCCTACTATCAGGAGCTTTACACTGGTATTTGTTAAATGATCACAGGCCTTCAAGGTAGATCTCATTACCACACTTTACAGAAGAGGAAACTAAGTTTCGGAGGTTTTCCAAATAATATACAGTGAGGACAAGGCATTGCCAGGTTGTTTGAAGCTGCCTCACTCCAAAGTCAGTCTTTTCACAAGGCTGTTAACCTTCAGGTGGACCTGGGGCAGCGTATGATGGTCAAAACAAAATAAACTCCAGACTTCTAGGCTCTCAGGGCAGAAATTACTCTTCCCTACCCACTGAGAAGGGCCTCCAAAATAGAAGGCTGCTGTATCATTTAGTTGGTACATACACGGCAACCTCAACCACTCACGGCCTGATATTACCTTTAGGGTTCTCACCTGGAAGAAGAGCACATCTCTCCCCGCTCAGCCCTACTCTCAGGGAAAGCAAATAAAGGTCTGGCAAGCACCCAGAAAGACTGAGAGTTATTTTTTGTTTTGTTGCCAGTATTTTCAAATTGTATATAGCTATGGCTACAACATGTTTTGATATACATATACAGTAGCTGTTGATTCTAGTCTAGAAGGGCCATAGACACCACTACTCAGCTCCTTCTCAGACACGCCTTTATCAAAGTTTTATTAGCCTCAGCTCAAGGGATCTCTATTTGGGTATCTCATTACAGAGCAAGGACACTTCAGCTACTGTAGCACCACCACTCAAGCAGGCTCTTCAAGGGCAGCAGTGGAAATGAGTTGCAAGAGAACTATAAATCCTCCTTGACCCTTTCCCCGCTTCATGAAGTTGCTCTCTCAACTCACCTCTTCCTTCAAGTTTGACACTGGATTACTCCCATTCCCTGAACACATGTATCAGGTCACTGAAGCCTCATTAAAGCTTTACTTAAAAAAAAGAATTACTCTCTTTGCTTTTTATTTATTTATTTATTTATTTTAACAACACTGCTCATTTATTGCACTTCCCTTGGCCTGGAACTTATTCTCCCTTGGACAAAATCTATCTTCCGCATTGAACTCCAATAGCACTTAATTTTTTTCATTTCTTTTCTCTTTTTGATACGAAGTCTCACTCTGTTGCCCAGGCTGGAGCGCAGTGTGGCACAACTCGGCTCACTGTAACCTCCACCTCCCAGGTTCAAAAGATTTTCCTGCCTCAGCCTCCCAAGCAGCCGGCATTACAGGCACACACCACATGTTCACCTAACTTTTTGCGTGTTTTTAGTAGAGATGGGGTTTCACTGTATTGGCCAGGCTGGTCGCAAACTCCTGACCTCAGGTGATCTGCCCACCGTGGCCTCCCAAAGTGCTGGGATTACAGGAGTGAGCCACTGCTCTGGCCTTCATTTTATTTGAGACAAGGTCTCACTCTCATTCAGGCTGAGTGTAGTGGTGCAATCGTGGCTCACTGCAGCCTCAATCTCACAGCCTCAAGCAGCAATCTTCCCACCTCAGTCTCTCAAGTGGCTGGGACAACAAGTGCACGCCACCACACCCAGCTAATTTTGTTATTATTTATAGAGATGAGGACTATGTTGCCCGGGCTGGCCTCAAACTCCAGGATGCAAGTGATCCTCCTTCCTTGGGATTACAGGCATGAGGCACTGTGCCTGGCCTGCACTTAATTTTCAAGTATCTTTTTGTCTTTTTGACATTTATCGCATTTCATTCATTAAAATTATTCAAAAATATTTTTATTCCTATTTGAGGACGAGTCAATTCTTGGGACCTCAAAGTACTCCACCAGATATTGGATATATATATATATGCACACATATATATAGATATGTGTTTTCATTTCTGTGGATAACTTAGTGAATCCTCTCCCTTAACCCCAAGAAAGCCTTTATGTTCTCTAGTTTAAGGGTTCTAAGTTTCACATCCAAAAATCAACAGTTTCCAGGTACTTAGAAAACAACTTCCAAATAAACTTTTTTTTTTTTTTTTTGAGATGGAGTTGCCCCGGCTGCAGTGCAGTGGCACGACCTTGGCTCACTGCAACTTCCGCCTCCCGGGTTCAAGCGATTCTCCTGCTCAGCCTCCTGAGTAGCTGGGCTACAGGCGTGAGCCACTACGCCCGGCCTGAAACTTTTTAATTGTAGATTAAAAAGAGATGAGGTCTCATTATATTGTTCAAGCTGGCCTAGAACTCCTATCCTCAAGTAATCCTCCCACCTAGGCCTCCCAAAGTGCTGGGATTACAGGCATGAGCCAATGCACCCGTCCCCAAAGACTTTTGAACAAAAGTGTGGGCTCATTAGGAGAAATGATCCAGAAGGAGAAGGGATGGGAGTCTCCAGTGCTTTAAATGGGAGAAGGAAAAAATCTGTGGAGGGAAGAAAAAAATAGGGCACTAGGCTTTTGATGGTTTATGGGACAAGTAGGAACCTAAGGCTCCACTTGCATATAGCATTCCAGGATGTGGAGAACGCCGTCGAAGATTGTCCACTATGTATGTACCTTGGCCTTAAGAGTAATGGCAAGGGTCTCTCTGAGCCAGTCTGGAATGGTAAAAGGAGCCATCCTAATGATGCAACCGACGTCGATTAAGGATCTGGTCTCTATCCCACTTTTTGACAGAAGAAACATTTAATTGGCAAGAATGACGGCAAAACAAAACACAGTAAAACACGTAAAAAGAGCTAAAATGCTGCTTCTTTTAAGATTTCCCTGACCAGCAATGGCAACCGTTTTAGAACCGACTGCAATATACGTAATACTGGAAATATATATATATATAATACTGGAAACTTCTCGTGTTCCCTGCTGTCTGGGGCCCTTTTCTTTGCTAGATTTCAGGTCTCTGATCCGAACCCTCCCTCTTAGTTCAAGTCCTCCAATAGCCTTTAGTGTTTCCACCGAGCCGTCCTTCCTCAATTTCTCCCTCCAGTTTTCCCTTCCCCATCTCCCCCGCTATTTCGGCATCAGACTCTCCCTTAGTCTTCCTTTCTCCCTGTGCAGTCTCTGTCTCTCCCCCTCCTCTCTTCCTCCCTAGGCAGCCTCAATTCTCTCTCCCTTCCCTTTCCGGGTCCCCCACAACAGTCTCCTTTTAGTTTCTCACTTCAGTGACCGCCCCCATCCTACTCCCCTCCCCACCCTACTCCCCTCCCCACCCCACCCCACCCCACTGCGCACTATCTCCCTGCTGTTCGGCCGTTGGAGAGGGCGTGGCCTGGCGAGTAACAGGTCTCCCGCCCCACACTCCGCGGGCCCGCGCGCAGACAAAGACATTCCACAGCCCCCGCCCCCTCCGCCCACTGGACCAGAAGGGGGAGGACCCACGTGTCCCGCTAGCGCCGAGTCACGTGGAAAAGGAAACGAAAGGAGCCGGCAGCCTCCCGCGCATGCGCGCCAAATTCTGGCCTGGCGGGCGCGGAGGGAAAGCCGGAGTCGGGAGGCGACTTCTTCGGACGCCGCGGTGGTGCGCAGGCGCCGTGGCTGGACTAGGGACTTTGTTCTCCGCGGAGAAACCCAAGGGCGGTGCCGATGACTGGCTGCGCACGCGCGCCGCCTCATTTCCGGTGCTCTCTCTCGCTGGGTCGCTAGGGTCAGCTTTGGTCGCTGCCGCTCCCGCTCACCCACCCCCGCCAACCGCCGCCCGGGCCTCCGCCGCTACCGCGTCGCTTTCTCACTCCTTTGATCGCACATCCTCACCGATGCAGCGCCGGGACGACCCCGCCGCGCGCATGAGCCGGTCCTCGGGCCGCAGCGGCTCCATGGACCCCTCAGGTGCCCACCCCTCGGTGCGTCAGACGCCGTCTCGGCTGCCGCCGCTGCCTCACCGGTCCCGGGGAGGCGGAGGGGGATCCCGCGGGGGCGCCCGCGCTTCGCCCGCCACGCAGCCGCCACCGCTGCTGCCGCCTTCGGCCACGGGTCCCGACGCGACAGTGGGCGGGCCAGCTCCGACCCCGCTGCTGCCCCCCTCAGCCACAGCCTCGGTCAAGATGGAGCCCGAGAACAAGTACCTGCCCGAACTCAAGGCCGAGAAGGACTCACTCGACCCGTCCTTCACTCACGCCATGCAGCTGCTGACGGCAGGTAAGGGGGCCTCCCGGGTCCCTCTGGGTCGCCCGGCCATCCCAGGGCATGAATGGCCCTGGCTTTGTTCCTCTCGCTTCCCGCCCCCTCGGGACCGAGGCAGTCGGGAGCTCCGGTCTCATCCTCATCATTGGGACCCTGGAGTCCACATTCCCACCTCAGTCCGGAGTGCGAGGGAGAATTTCTAGGCTGCGCTGCAGGCCCGAAGGCGACTTTGCGATCTCCTAGCGCTAACATCTTGATGGATAGTGCTGAGCTCCCCGCCCCTTTCCCGACTCTTCTCTCCTCCCTCCTCCTGCGGCTGCCCCGCGCTCCGAGCGCGCAGATTCTTCCAGAAATGAACCTGTATCTCCCCCTGTCCCCGAAGGGGAAGCCTTTTTGATCGCGGGTGGCAGTGAGCGCCTCGACCGAGGTGTGGGAGGTGAAGACACCCAGAGCGGGGAGGGGCCGTGGGAGGAAAGGCCGAGGTGAGGTGGGGTGAGGCTGGAATGCCCTGTCCAGCGCGTCGCTGTCTCTGGGGCCGAGCCGGACTTAGCGGTAACCGCAGCTTAAGTTGCTGGGAGGAAGGAGCGATTTATGGGGATCGGAGCTTGAGGTTTTCGAATCAGATTTCCGACTAAGGCTGATAAAATAAGAATTGCTATACTGAGCTTGAAGGTTGTCTTTCGTTTTACACCGTGGGTTCACCATCATTGAAGAAGGAGTGAAATAACCCCAGAGACATTGAAATGGGACGATAGGGACTGCCGCGTAGTTCACATGACGTTCCCCAACGAGATGGACACAAATTGAGAGAAGTTGCATGATGCTTGTACTGAAAGTCTTGGTCTTTTTGTTGCTTTGTTTTACATTTTTTATTCAGTACAGTAGTGAAAAAGAAATGAGTCTTTGTTCTGTGGATTAGCGCTCTTTTTCTGATCAGCCTTGGCCAATCACCTAGTCGCCCTGATTTTTCCCTAAAGCTATCTGACCTCCACTTCTAGTTAAAACATTATTTTAATAAATATTTCTTATGATTCCTAAATTTTAGTAAGCAAGTAAAAATTCCCATCGTTCGACACTGAATGAGTAGTTGGACTCTTTGGCAAGGTTAATATAATGAACAATTCGTTATGAAAATATTACCTCCTTCCCTTTGTTCTCTGTCTCCCAACACTGTAAGTTAAGGGCTCTTTATCAATGTGGTGTTCATCTTTTATGCTTTTTTAAGATAACTGTCAAAAACTGTTGATCCTTAAAAGTTCCCTGTAATTTTCAGTCTCCCCTCACTGCTGAACTAAGAGAGCGCTCTTTATTTTTAACTTCGGCTTTCTAGATGTATTTTTTTTTTCTTTAAACCAAACAAATTGGGAAGTGTGATTGAGGTAATGTTGGTTCATTGAAAGAATGAAATCGGGATGTATGGATTCTTTGTAGCATTGGTAAGTGTTAATATATATTGAGCCTGGCTTTTTATTTTTTCTGAGACAGAGTCTCACTTTCACCCAGGCTGGAATGTAGTGGCGCGAACTCACCTCACTGTAGCCTCCACCTCCCGGGTTCAAGCGATTCCCCTGCCTCAGCTTCCTGAGTAGCTGGGATTACAGGCGAGTGCCACCAAGCCTGACTAGTTTTTATATTTTTAGCAGACACGGAGTTTGACCTCTTGCTCACCCTGGTCTCGAACGCCTAACCTCAGATGATTCGCCCGCTTTGGCCTCCCAAAGTGCTGGGATTACAGGCGTGAGCCACCGTGCCCTGCCAGAGCTTGGCTTTTAAGGTATTTCCGAATTATCTTGCAAAGGAATTGCAGCGAAGTCACAACCCGCTGTGAAGAAGTGAGACTTTGATAAGATAGAATAGTAACATTTAAGCTCTGGTAAGAACATATGGAAGGGCCAAGCGCCGGTAGCTTACTTTGGGAGGCTGAGGAGAGTGGATCACTTGAGGTCAGAAGTTTGAGACCAACCTGACCAACATGGTGAAACCCCATCTCTATTAAAAATTAAAAATACAAAATTGACCAGGCATGGTGACACACACCTGTAATCCCAGCTAGTTGGGAGGCTGAGGCAAGAGAATCACTTGAACCAGGGAAACGGAGGTTGCAGTGAGCCCAGATCTTGCCATTGCACAGCACCTGGGCAACGAAAGTGAAACCCTATCTCAAAAAAATAAAATAAAATAAAAACATGGAAGAAAAATATAGCTAAACTTTAATGTTTGGCATCTGAGCACTTTACATTAAATATTTAACCTTTAGAATGAAATGAAATGAGAATTTTTGCTTTTATTCTCATTTTTACAGATGAGGAAACCAAGGCACCCAGAGATTAATAATTTGCCTAAGATAACGAAATTAGTAAGCAGCATAACCAGGATTTTTTGGTCAGTCTACATACCTCCCCATTTCCCTCATCATAGTGCCTGCTGCAAATTGTACTTTAAAAATTAGCTATATTTGAACAAAATATTAAAGTACATCTGGAATAATAGGTGACAAAAAAGAAAAGTCTGAAAGTATCACAGTGTTAACAGGGTGGTGAAGATGATGAGATACAGAAGAAGGAAACCAGAGAGCAGAGTCTACTGCTTAGAACTGTAACTTGCCCATTCCCCATAAAGTACCATAAGACCCTGAGCACTCTTCCTGTACCACCCACACAGCTCCCCTCTTCCTTTCCTGAGTTCACTTTACTTTGCACTTAATCAGCATCTGTTGCACTATGTATTGTCATTATGTACAGTATTTGTTTGTTGATCACCCATTCTCCTTCATGGCTAGAATGTCAGCTCCACCAGAGCGCAGGAATCTTTTGTCTGCTTTGTTCACCGCTGTATCTTCGGTGCCTTGAAGAGTGGTGCGCAGAGTGGCCTCCTACTAAATATTTCATGAAAGAATATATATTTGTCTTCATTGAAGATGGAAGTGATGAAAAAATGATGACAGGGGGCACGGTGGCTCACGCCTGTAATCCTGATGCTTTGGGAGGCTGAGGCAGGCAGATCACTTGAGGTTGGGAGTTTGAGACCAGCCTGGTCCACATGGTGAAACCCCATCTCTATTAAAAATACAAAAATTAGCCAGGCGTGGTGACACATGCCTGTAATCCCACATACTGGGGAGGCTGAGGCAGGAGAATCACTTGAACCTGGGAGGCGGAGGTTCCAGTGAGCCAAGATCACGCCATTGTACTCCAACCTGGGCAAAGAAGCAAGACTCCATCTCAAAAAAAAAAAAAAAGAAGGAAAAGAAAAGTGACAAAATTTTGAGGGATAAAGATTTTGAATATAGATTTCTATATTAGCCAGATTGATATTCAGGTGTGTTGACAATTGAATGTATTTGAATTGAATGTAATTGAATGTATTTGCAGACATAAGGATTCAATCATCCATGTTTGGAAGAGAAATAATTTACCTTATTATGTTAATATATACTAAGTAAAATACTGTTATATATGTCAGTGTTCTTTTTCTGCTTTCTACAGTTAAGAAAATATAAGTTAGGGCCGGACGCGGTGGCTCAAGCCTGTAATCCCAGCACTTTGGGAGGCCGAGGCGGGTGGATCACGAAGTCAAGAG